GCAGGAATTCTTCCCTGCTTAAGTGAGATGCCTAATTAAATTAAATTAAAAAGATAAATTTTAAGAAAGAAAACCATCGTAACCAGACAGAGCAGTGGTGAGACAAAGATGTGCAGCATCAGGAGGAAATTATATTGTCATCAATGGCATACAAATTTCTTTCTACCTCTTAAGAAAATGGGCAAACAACAAATCTGTGCTGAAACCTATACTGTATAAAGAAAAAATCTAGATGGAAATACTCAAACAGATAAAAGGGCTTGATATAAAAATCTGGAAGTCAAAGGTTGTAGGGGAAGCTAACTGGAATAACAGCCCCTTTTTCTTAAAAGCCTGGGTGGAAATGCATTTCTAAAGCATTAAAGCTCCATTCCAAAAGGAGGAAAACCAGGGGGGTTTTTTAAAGATACAGAAAACTGTATGATAGAAGCTTTGAACAGAGTGATCTCCAGAAGAGAAAGAAAACAAGGATATTCAATGGTAAAGTATCTTCAACAGGCAATAAATTTTTAATAGGAGGGGAAGTGACCTTTTTTTAACTATAAGGGTTTTGAAGGTTACCAAAACTGTGTAATCTGAATGATTTGTAGCAGTACATGAATTAGAAGGACTTTTATACAGCTAGATGAATTTTCAAGGAAAAAAAACAACCTCAAATCTCTGGATTCCAACACTGGGTAACGTCATATTCCTCAATGAGCACTTGAACACATGAGCATGTTTCCCAGTATGACAATTCATACTTTCTTTTTATTACAAGGCTACTTAAAACAGTCCATTTTTTCTTCTAAAACATGTTGGTGTGGCTGGCAGGAAGTTAAAGAGATTTTATACAGATGTTTTAAGAGAACAGCAGAACCATAAGATTCCTTTTAAACTCCGAAACATTACAGTTCATATTTATTCTCAAAATGCTGTGCAGCTTTCTGGAAATGCACAGAGAATTACATATAAATCAATAAAGAAAACTTTCCACCAATGTTATTTTGCTGCACTCTCTACAGTTACTTGTAACATCACCCTCATCTACAGTTCTCTAGAAAGGGCCCAAGGTTTCCAGCACTGGAACATACACTGATGCAGGTCAAACAAAACCAAGCACTGAAGGTTATCACTTATTCTTATATGCAGATTATTTTAAAAGAATTCTAGACAGAAATTCAACATTTATTTTAGCATTCATTAAGATGAATATATTAAAAACATGGTTAACAATTTTTAATATCCTTCTACTTAAATATCTTGGAAGCCACAAACTACTTCTGCTAGATAGACTTCCAGATTATTTTGGCACACCTCCAGATATTTTGAAATTGAGTGATAAAATACTAATGATAAATTATAAATATTAGTTCTATTTTCAGGAAAATATAACTTGATATATCATGCATTTCCACACAGGTTTTATCTCAACCTTCTAGGTGCCTCATTCCGAAATGAGTGAGATTAATCACTCACGATACTGTTCTTATTAGTTCAAAGCAAGAGCCATTTCATTATTCAGCACTTCAAGATTCAGAAGAACACAGAACCTAAGTTTACTACTTATTCAGAAGGACAATTAAGATCACTTATTCAAAAGTATCAGAGGACTAGGTATCTAGTCCCTTTTCCCACAGTAAGCTTCTGTCCCTGCTAGTTTTTGAAAGGTTTTACTTGAAAGGGTGATGGTATACATTCAGAAATTATACGAAGCAACCTACCTTGAATCACCTGAAAAACTGGAATGTTTTTCAAACACAGCCCAGTGTTGTTGCCCTGTGACATACCTTTTTAGAGGCACTCTGAAATTCCCTTCTGTCTGACAGAGTACATGTGCTACCTAAGAACTCAATGGACATATGATCCTGTGTCCCAGCAATACTGTAAAAACAGTCTATGAAGGCCTGTTACTGCTATGAAATGATGGGACTCATCTCAAGAGGCTTCATGCTGAAAAGACACAGAATCTTCAGCCAGGAGCAACTTCTGGCATCCCCTGTCATCCAGCTCCATCCAGAACAATGTGTTTAACACTACTTCATAGAAGGATGCATATCTACATCCATATGAATTTCTCAACAGTTTTACCAGCTGTGGAAAAAAAAAAAAATTTAAAAACCTGCACTACTTCAGAGTGCAATTTAACTTACATGTTTAACAGTTGTTCAATGTTCAGCTGCAACTTAGAGCCAGCAGTGACCATCTGTAGCCACTTAACAGCTTATTTTCACCAACAATTTCCTTTTATTAAGTTTTCGGTACCCACACAGTATTGAGATAGAATATGGCTTTCAAAGGAATTGCCAAACACTAGCTGGTAGTGCAAAGATTTGGTACTTTGACAAACAAGTAGCAGATTGCACTGAAGTCCAAGCTAAATGTCAACCAGATAGCATGCAAAATATGAAGGTCCTCCTTCCATTTGTCTTCATGATTTGGTGACCTATGTGTTTTTTTCTACAGCAAACCTCACTATACCCATGGCATTTTATACCACTAAAAAAATTGCCAACCATAAAATGCCTTTAAGATGGGATGGTTTAGTCTTGATGATACATGTCATTATATAGTACCTCAAATTTAATTCCTTTATGTGGAAGGAATCTGATCAAAACAGGATACACTGATCAGAAAGGGATTTTCAAGCAAGGCATCCACAAACACACCTGAACAGTTGCATAACTTGCCATCACAAAGTGACCAATTATACTAAAAGGCAAGTAATAACTAGTAACTGTTCGTACAGGTTAGCCTGTACATCAGAGATTGTGCTTGCAGTTTACTGCTCATAGAAACATTTCTATTTTAAGGTGTTTTAAAAAAATGGAATTTGATGAAATATAACCACGTTAAGCTTGTGTGGAAGCTCACACTCACTGCAAGTTAATGGTGCCCAAACATCTCACTTGAGCAATCCCATAGCTCCTCCCAGTGGCCATAACCCTGCCCTAGCACTTGACTAATTAGAAACAACTATAAACATCTCAGATGAGCAACCTACAAGTACCATCACAGCACAGATACCAACCTTCTCGGGACTTCCAGCTGCATGAGAAATCACAAATTTACAAGGTTGCTACGTGAAACAGCATCCAGTTATCCCCATCTGAAAACTGCCTTACAGCTGTTCCTGCTGGCTTGGATACACGTACCCACCTTCATGCAAAGCCATAGTTCACGTTCACTGCACCTAAGAGAACAGTGCCCTGAAATATCACCTGGGTCATTAGTCAACCACTCTGCCTTGGCACAGACCAACACCACACACAACCCTCTGCAGAGCCATGAGGTCCAGTGAGCATCCACCCACCAACCACATTCCATGGACCTCAGAGAAGTCACACACGTCCTCTCAGACCCTCCCTCACGACAAGGTCAAAGAGTAACAGAACACAGGAGTCACCTACTGCCTCAAGAGAAGCTCTCAAGAGAACTCTCTCTCTCTGCAATGTGCAACCCACAAACTTTTTAAAAATAATTTACACTGGAATTAAGCTAATTTCCTGAGATATTCATCTGTCAAAAACCAAACACAACACTGGGTCAACAAGAATCTCATTTAAAAATTCACTATAGTACACAATATCAACTACATTTGTCAAGTAAAGGAGTAGGAGGAACAACAGCTTCACTACTCTAATAGAGCCAGGACTTGATCTCAAGTAATATTAAGCCAGATAATGCTAAATCAAATGCAGTAATGATTTCACACAGAACTAGATAGGTAAAAATTCACTTTGACAAAAATTTTTTCAATGCTTACAATAAAAACATGTTTAATAACACTATTGCCTTTAGAACCTTCAAGGAAGTTTTGTAACTGTCTTCATGCAAACACCTGCCTTTCTGAGAGAGACAGAACTGTTACTGAAGTGAGTTTTGTAGCACAAATATATCTGACAGGCAGGTAAGGCAACACAAGTCAGATCTCCTTTCAAACTTGCAGAACATGTCACAAAACTACAAGAAGCATAAGCACAAAATAATTGGCTTCATTTCTTAATTAGATGCTTTTAAATATAGCAAATTACTGTATTTATTCAAAGGACTGATCTTAAAATAATTCTTAACCTCATGTCAAGACATCTGCCCTTCAACAGAAAATTTAATGCTTTAAGTCTGTATACTTACTACCACTGTAAGTATCATTATTTATTTGACTTAGTAACAGTTCATTCACCAGTACCTTCCCACCCTTCTTTTTTTTAAGCTAGTCAAGTTTCTAAGTTCCATGCATGGTATTTAAAATGAAACTAGATAACTAGAGCCATTATGCACAGTTCTGTCCAGAACATAATAAAAGCTAAAATTCACCTCTGAAAGCCTGGTCCACTTTTCAACTCATCCTCATAAAAGGGGGGAAAAAATAAAATCCTTAATTGCATAATTTATGCCCCCACATCTTGCTTAACCCAGCAAAGACAGAACTAACATCAGACTTCTGCTTTGCACTGTCTTCCAAAATTCCATGTACCCATTAATACCATGTTGTACTGTATTTTTTACCTGGGGACTCCAGTAAAACCTCTTAGGATCATAGAATCACTATGGCTGGGAAGGCCCCCCAGGATCATCAATCCCAACCACCACCCCAGCATTTCCCTAACCACTAGATCACAGCCTCAAGTGCTACATCTACTCATTTTTTGAACACCTTCAGGGATGGTGACCCCACCACCTCCCTGGGCAGCCCGTTCCAGTACCTGACCACTCTCTCAGTGAAGAAATTCTTCCTAATATCCAAATGAAATCTTCCCTGGCACAACTTGAGGCCATTTCCTCTCATCCTATCATCAGTAATTTGGAAGAAGAGACCGACACAAGCCTCACTACAACCTCCTTTTAGGTAGTTGTAGAGAGCAATAAGGTGTCCTCTCAGTCTCCTCTTCCCCAGACTGAACAACCCCAGTTCTCTCAGCCTGTCCCCATAAGGCATGTTCTCCAGCCCTTCACCAGCCTCGTTGCCCTTCTCTGGCCCCACCCCAGCACCTCCATGTCCTTACCCTGTGGTGCCCAGAACTGGACACAGTGCTCAAGGTGTGGTCTCACCAGTGCCCAGTCCAGGGGCTTAACACATCTCTTAATACATCTCCTTTCTCAACATCCTTTCCTCACTTCTCAGACAAAGCTACTTCAATAAAGCAAAGAGCTGTAGTTATCCCTTGAATCGAGATTGTTCTTTCTGTCAACTGCCAGATTATCCAAGGTCTTAAATGGCAGCCTTCCCAGAAGTTGTCCACCCACTGTCTACTTCAAGATTCACTTCCCCTATCCTAAAACCAAGCAATATTTTAACTAACTCAACATTGTTTTGTGGAAAAAAGTAGTTATATGATTAAAAAAGTAAACATTAATTGTGTTATAACCTGAACCTTCTTTAAATAAAACATTTTACCTTTGAAGTGTTGATTTGGCAACTCAAATATAAATTACAGCTGAAAAGATGTAGAACTTAACTCTATAAAAAAGTCACCCAAAATTTTGGGAAGTGTTAGCTACAGGTGTCTCCAGAATACAGGGTGTTATGGACTACTGCAGCATTAAACACTTGGAGCTTAATCCATAGGATAAGATGTCTTTTGAAGCCGTTAACCAACTGAATCATAATGACAGCATCAAAAAATACTTTGAATTAAGAAATTAATTACCCCAACATAAGTACTAGTCACAACCCAATGTGAACTCCAGCACATTACCTCCTTCTTTCTTAAAAGCCACTTTTTATCAATGATAACAAACTCAAACATGGTAATACCTTTGACCAGTTGATTCTCTTCATTGTGACTTCCAGCTTATACTTCTTCTTCTCCTTCATCCCATGTGGTAACGCTGGCATCGCCGGAAACGGAGCAAAAGGAACACCCCCAAGAGCTGGTGGCATTGGAGGCCCACCAAAAGGTGGTGGTGGAGGAGGTATGGCTCCACCAGGTAGAGGAGGTGGTGGAGGTGGTCCTGCTCCACCAGGTAGCGGAGGAGGTGGGGGTGGTATTGCTCCACCAGGCAGCGGAGGCGGCGGGGGTATCGCTCCACCGGGCAGCGGAGGCGGCGGGGGTGGTGCAACTCCACCAGGGAGTGGAGGTGGTGGGGGTATGGCCCCACCAGGGAGTGGAGGTGGTGGGGGTATGGCTCCACCAGGGAGTGGAGGTGGTGGGGGTATGGCTCCACCAGGCAGCGGCGGTGGTGGAGGTATGGCTCCACCAGGCAGAGGAGGTGGTGGAGGTATGGCTCCACCAGGCAGCGGCGGTGGTGGCGGAGGAGGAGGAGGTATGGCTCCACCAGGCAGGGGAGGTGGTGGTGGAGGTGCCAGGCCACCGGGCAGCGGGGGCGGTGGAGGCGGTGGCGCATTCTCACTTGGTAGGGTGGGAGGTAATGGTGCTGCTTCTGTCAGTTGACCTGTCAGGCCTGGACCCTGAAATACAAAAGAGGAACTCTTTTCATCAGGGTGGGGAAGAGGTTTCATATGAAGCTGAACCAACCAGGATGCCTTGTAGTCAACTGGCACCTCAAGTCAGTGAGAAATTCAACCATTCTCTTATTTAAATGAGAAGCAATAACAATAGATTATACCATGTGCCATAAAACTGTCAAGCAAAGTGAATAACCTAGCATTTTTATAAAAACAAATTGTTACCATTTTAAAGAAAATTTAATAGTAGCAGTAACATTTAAGTGAACAGAACAGCATTTTATTTCTTACCAATGCACAGAACATTCATCCCACTTAGGGTATCCTGGCAAGCTGGGGCATCAGAGATGGTAATAACCACACTGAATTCTAACAACCTCCTCTGCCCGTGGAGCATTTCCCACAGAAATCACTGACGTAGCTATTGCAGTGCAAGAGGTTATGAGACCACAGCTCTTTGTAACTACCCTGGCATCTTCTCTAGGTGGGAAAAATTACACCAAAACAATCATGCTTTCTCTTAAATCTGTCTGCAGATGTTTCTGCAGTGATAGGAAGAAAAAGCAACTGTAGTATCTATCCTAGTAAGCTGTGAAAGGAACAATGAAGAGAACCAGCAGCATGTTAAACCATCAGAAAGGTCTCTGCAGTGACTAACACAGTCCTAGCCCCCAGACTAGTAGGAATTCCTCACAGATTCTTGTCCTGTTGAAAACCAGCATCAGGACCTATGCACAAACCACCATATGAGCTCATATTCCATTTTCCCTACCAATTTTTATTATAAAATTAAGTAATAGACATTGTTCATTTAATCTGATTTTCATTTTATCTTCCTAAGCAATTATTTGCTGTTTATTGTTTAAAGGAAGCAAGAGTTTGTCTTGACCAAAAAATCCATCTGAGAAAAATGTGAGTCTAAAAACAAGTGCCACAGTACAGTGAATGCAAGCATAGCATACAAAAAAAGGGCACAGGTTGATGTATATCACTTTTAATTGTACCATTATTGTGAATAAGCAGCAATGCCTGGATAATCTGAAATGTATTAGAATCAATATAACATGATTAATAATTAATTAGACTAAAAATATTTTTTTCCTTTGCACAAGGCATGTGTTTCCTTTGGTCCACAAGCTTCTACAGAAATTGTAATGCAAGAATTGGTGAACTTACTTAAATAGATTAATTTCAGTGTAGCATTATCTCATAGGTATTTGTAATGAGCATGAAAATTGGTAAGAATGAAGTGTGAACAGAAGTGTCTGTCAGTGAAAATAGGGTAAGAAAACCTTAAGACATGACATTTTACAAGAATTACTTGTGTTGATAGCAAAGGACACAACAGCAATCCAACAGTTAAATGCAATGTTAATGTGCTTACATAAAGAGGAGAAGGCCAGTGATCTCATAAGGCTATGGCACAGATCATTTGTCAACAGGATGATGCTAACCAGGTTACAGCACATCACATGCTATTCTTCCTCTTATTCAAAAAGGATGTGAGACTACAGGCATTAAGGTAGTCACCGTGAGGAAAAGGAAACAGGCAGATCTTGCCTAGTATTGAAGAAGTAGGAAACGAGCTAGGCTGGGCCAAAAGATCAAAGCATAGCTATTTCTTGGTTCCTAAAGGGTATAAAAGACCTGCCTGAAACCAAATTCACTGTCATTAGAAAAAAGAAAACCAAGGTATGTTGTGAGGGCTCAACAGGCAGTGTTTTCTGTCCTCTCATTCAGTAGTGATCCTGGACAAATCACTCAGCAGATACAGTTTTGGTGCTTGTGAGCAAAATTCATGAGCAAATGAATGCAAATGAAATCAGCTTTGCTGAAATATGAGGCATTGCATTTCTGGTTATATTTACCCATCAGACTGTATAAAGCTAGTCTAATATTCATTTTAGAATGGCTAGAGTGTGACAGCCAGAGTTAAAAATTGTCCTCAGTTGCCTGCATATGCTGAAAAGACTGTTTATTGTGCATGTACAGCTAGCATGACCTCTACCTTTGTCATTCAAGTGTAAAGCCTTTTGAAACAAACACTTTCTACAAAACATACAGAAGTACTAAAGTTAAAGCATAGCCAAGTACTTGTAGAAAGAAAAAAAATCAGGCTTGATTTAAACTTTTCATAGCTTAACATCTTCTTTAAAGCAAATGTGACAGATATTGAATATGCTACAATTTGAAGACGTTACCTTCATTAACTATCATTAAGAGTTTATGCTAACTTAAAAATCATGGAACTGTGGAATTACAGAATTGTTTTGGTCAGAAAAGACCTTTAAGATTGAGTCCAACCATTAACCTTACACTGCTAATGTCCCTACGCACCTCAGATACACTTTTCTAAATCCCTCCAGAGACTGCAACTCCAGCACCTCCCTGGACAGCCTGTTCCAGTGCTTTACAGCTCTCTCAGTGAGTAAGTTTTTCCTAATGTCCAAGCTAAACCTCTCCTGGTGCAACTTCAGGCTATTTCTTCTTATCCTACCAGGTGTTACTCGGGAGAAGAGACTGACCCCCACAGCTCACTACAACCTCCTTTCAGGCAGTTTTAGAGAGCAGTAAAGTCTCCCCTGAGCCTCCTTTCCTCCAGGCTAAAAAATCTCAGTTCCCTCAGCCTCTCCTCATAAGACTTGATCTCCAGACCCTTCATAAATAAATGAACACAACTTATAAATAAATACATGTATATAGATATAAAAAACTATATTGATTTCAAATTCCACAGAGACAATATACTCTTGGGCAATTGCTTTTCAAGTCTTAAAAAAAATGGAATTAAAAAACCCTCAACTGCAGAACTTACTGTGATTTATTTTTATTACCTGGGTTCGTAGCTGTTTGATTTCTGTTTCAAGTTCTTTGATTTTCTCTTCTCGTTTCTGAAGCTCTGCTTGTGCCTCTTGTCGAGCTGTGAATTCTTCATCAAACTGTAATGATTGACCAACACCTAAGTGTTCATCCACTTACTTCCACACTAGACACTATACTTTCAGGAATTCTTGGAAAAAAATCACCACTAGAGCAATAGATGCACTTTCAATTATTAAAAAAAATACGTTGCAGTGTGTGTTCCAGCACCCCATAATTTCGTCCACCACTAGGTCTGGACACAAAACTGCTCAGATCCAGCTACTTAGTACAGCTCTAAGATCAACAGGTTCTCCCCCCCTAAGAGACCATTGCAGACTTCTCAAACTAAACTCAAGTATACATGTCCTATAGTGAGCTTAAATCTGAAGAGAGATGTGTGCAGCTTCAGCAGTATTATCCATAAGGTAATGTAAGAAAGAAAGTATCCAAATAAGTCAGGGATCCCTTTATGTCCCCATACAAAAATGGAAGCCCAGTTTACACCAGGATTGTGAGAAATCCAATGCACATGTTCATCCTGGTACTCTTTGCTATGCTTAAGAGGTTGTTACCATCTTTAAAAGCTTCTGTAATTAATTCTTCCACAGGAGAAAGCAACTTATCCCTGTGAGGAACATGTGTTGACTGCCACTAACCAAGTACATTGTGATAAATAACTCTGCCAGGAAAGCATCACAACAATTTGCTGTCTATAAAGCTCAGACACCATGGCTCATATTAAAAATGTCTCCACATTTTAACATTCAAGATAAGAAAGTAAATGACATCACTGAACTCTTATTCTAAAATTTATTAATCATCATGTTCAAAAACATGTACTGCCTTTTGGTCTGGAAAAGCCTTTAGACCAGACCAAACATCAAAATTTTAAATGTTTTAAATACACAACAACAGGGTGTATGAGTAGTACTGCAGCTCATTTCACATCCTTAAACAAAATGCAATGAGCTGAGATGAAGAAATTATCCATTAACCTCAACTAGGAAATAAGACTTTAAGTAACTTCAGAAAACACGTTTAGAAAGAGACTTTCAGCAAAACCACCAATAGTGATAATGCAAAAGGATAAGCATTGATTTCTTGAGAAACACCCTACAGAAAAATTACTACAAAAAATACCTTGAGCTGGAATTCTTCCTACAGAAATAATTTAACACAACTAACCTCTTTTGCACCTAGTAATAAATGAAAGGAGAACTGAATAAGAAGAGAAACTCCGTAAGCAAGAGTTCTAAAATGCACTGCAAGATTCCTAAATGTGACTAATAAGGGAATAAATTACTCTTCCTCATAATGTAATAATTTACTATAGGCATTATAAAGAAAAATAAAAACATCTTTAAAAAAAGAGTCAATGCCTCTTCCAACAACAAATGACTCTGCTTTTCACCAAGTTTCTTCAGGTTCTAGATGAAGAGTTATGAACTTCCCCCCCCAGTTTGGTTTGTTGGGGTTTTTTTTTTTTAGCCTTCTATCTGCACTTCAGGTACTCAACTATGACTAAGTATTTCAGGACAAGATAGCAACAAGTGGATTTTTTCCCCATCAATTATTTACAGCAAAGGGATACAACTAAAGATATGTACAACCAATACTACTCGTCTGCTTTTGAAATCAGAGTAAACTGGAATTGGAATCGTGTGCCTTACACACACACACACACACACAGTAAAAGCCCAAACCCCCAAAGCTCTTCAATGTAAAAGAACATCCTGCCTATGCAATACACTATTTCCCAGTTTCCACTAAGTTTCTACTGTGAAACAAGCCCATGTGTTCCTGTCAGGCCCTATTTAATGCCTTAAAAAGAGTGATGATTACAACTTACCTTTCTGGAAAACTCTGCTGCTTTCTTTTCACTTTCTTCTACTTTAGCTTTGTCCACACACGCATCTAGAATTTAAATAAAACACAACACAGAAGTAAAATGTATGACAGTTCTGAGGTGCCTTATAACTATAATTACTCTATGACCCCATGACATAAAAGCAACAGACAAAAAATACAATTAATAACTAGGTTGCTCTCAAGGAACATTTGGTGAATTGTTTGGATGAGCAAAATCTATAAATACAAAAAAAAAAGGGACTGAGGACACATGACCAAGGAAGATGAATCATCACAGTTGTTCTATTTCTGACAGATGTGAGTTTATGTGCCCTTCTCCCTTTATACGAATCTACTACTAAATAAGACATGAAAAAAGAATTCTTACACTACTATGATGTACTAGTTCTAAGGCTTCAAATCAGGAAGTCTCCTTTCCAGATTAGGAATCCAAAAATAGAGCATTACCTTATTTCAGTAAGTTTATTTTGTAGACAAAAGAATTTGGACTGTTTGTGAAGTAAAGACTTCTTCACTCAACAACATTGCAAAGCACTTCTATTGACTTTTCAACCAGGGTAAATCCCTAAGCATTTTCTAAGTGAGGTAAGCAGAAGAAACTATCTATTGTAGGCAGGACTGGCATGGACAGATAAATTAGTTATCTCTAAAACTCGTTTACCAATGGAAACACGAGGCAAGATGAGGTAAGAGCGAGTGATCACGTTCCTGCAGTCATAACTGATAGAAAAATGCAGACATACTTTGTGGATGTGCAGGGCACCTTTTAGAAAGCAATTCCACCCCACAAGTCACCTGTACAACATCATTTCTTGGCTCCTTTTGTCACATCAGAAAAAAAAAAAAAAAAAAAGGCATTTTCCCAAACTAATGTGTTCTCCAGGAGCAATTACTTCCCCTTACGAAACACTGACTCCAGAGATGCCCTTGTATTTTAAGAATACAATCTACCCCACCAATCTTAAGCAAAGCATAAAAAGACACTTCAAAATGCTCCTCGCTGCTATTTAAATCACATAATATTTATTCAGCTGCTTCTTTCCCACATCATGAACATCCACAGTCCCTCAATGCTTTAACTGATTAGCTGACCTTAAACTAACCTCAAATACTTGAAAAATAGCACAGGAAATTATCTTAGAAGGAACCATATAACTAAAAATCCACTAGCAAATAATGCTAATATGTGTTTTCACATTTGTAACAGATTTGAAATTCACAAAATTTATGAACAAGTCATTTTTCCTATTAAGACTACTGCACTAAGATGTAAGTCAAGACAAATCTGGAGATGCAGTGTCATTTTATCCAATGTTGCAGAGTTCTATCTGGCTTTCTTTGTAAGTACACCTATTTCCAGGCGACTGGAAAAATTCAGAGTCAATTTAAGTCTAGACAGAAGAATACAAAGAAAAATGTGCACTTCAGTAAAGCAAGGTAAAATTACTTATAGTATACAAACCAACAAGATGAGTAAAATCCACGTCCATTCTTCCTCTATATTTAAAATCTGGGTCCGTGCCACTGCAGTGCAATACTATCTGTGATACACATTCTTCTATTATCTTGTAATACTGAGGTCTGAAACACAATTTACAAGATAATAAGAACATGAACAGCTATTTATGTAACATGGAGGGAGGGGAAAAAAAAGGGGCAACTAACTCCTAATATATGAAATACACAATTGCTAGAAAAAGGAGCAAGTTAAAGGACTTACTGGTACTCTAAGAAAGCACTGTTGTTTGTTTCTCAGAAAGATATCTGAAGAAGTTCAAGACTCCACAAAATGCTATGTCCTTTACATTTATCCTTTTTGCCTGACAATAGCCAGTAATACAAACAATGCCTTTGTTATTTTCAATATATGCTACAAGAATTCTTTAGCACATTCTCAACAGTGAATTCCATCACTGGCAACAGTATCAGTATTCAATTACTTAGAAAATGACTTAATAATTAACCTAATTGGTTGACATACATCTCTACATAACAACCTCACGAATCTCTAAGGTTAGTGTATTCTGTGCTCAAGGTTATTAGTTCTTACCAGTGCAAGGTGTTGCATCTCTATTTTACATGCCATTGATCTCTTCAAATTACAAAAATTACAAAACCCTCAAACCTAAAGCAATGATACTGCAAACTTTCAAATTAAAAAAAAATATATATATGTATAGACAAAACCTGAAGATTTCTCAGGTTATATTTAACTTCTTAATTTTCTCTCCTTGTGTATCACTTGTTTCTATCATCCCTTTACAACAAAAAAAAAAAATTACTTGAAATACAATTTTGTATGAGGTCCTTTGACATTGCTAAGACACTAAGAGATGCATTGAAGAGAATCATACATGGAAAACACAAGATACAAGGCACTGTGAAAGTATTTTCAGTTATAGGGTATAGAATTAACTTTCAAGATCTTTGAAGCCACAAAGTCAGTGAACTTGAATAAAGAGGTGCTCAACGAGTTAAAAGATTTTGGGGTAAGGCTGTTAGAATAAGGCTCAAGTCTTTGAAACAAACATTATTATCTTTAACAGGGTCTTTTCAAGATTAACTTGGAATAGAAGGATGACACATCAGGTACAGAGCAGCCAACCATGCACAAGATTACGAGCCACTCGGGTCACCAGGGTCTTGAGTTCTATTATGCCCCCTACCTATTAAACAAATCAATCAATTGAACCTGCCGGCTGCGGCTTACCGGACGTAGTAATCATTCCTGATGAGAAGGAAGTGCTGCAGGATTGACAAGAAGTAATTTTCGGAAGAAGTATCTTTCAACATATTATACAGTAGATGAAATACTTCATTCACATCAGTGCAAACATTGTTAAGGAAATAAAGATTTTAAAAAAAAAAAAAAAAAAAAAAAACCAACACGAAACCAAAAAACCCCACATCCCACACCCAAACAAGAGCCAAAGCAAAACCCAAAAACCCCAGCCCACAACACAATAAAAACCCACTCCATCCCCAGCTGTATAGATGTAGCTCATATTGTAGCACTACAGCCAGAGTTTAGCTTAGTAAATGTTACTTATGAAAAATTAATTCCATTCCCAATGACTTGGATCCAACATACAAATTTAAGTACTTTCTAAAAAAAGTTAACCAAAGCAGAAAGAAATCTGCTTGAGAGCATCCTTGACAAGAGACACAACTGTGACAAATAAACTGTCCGTAAAGCACTCTACCTTATGTTCAATAAAGTTATTAAAAAATCCAACAAGTTATAACATCATGTTTATGAAGGATATTCCATTTCAGCTCTGATATCATTGAGACGATGTGACAGTTCAATTAAGTCTTCTTCTTTGTTCTCATCAAACACTTTCAGCTGAATATCAAGCTCTTCATTATCCTTATCTTTCAAGCCCTATTTTTCAAGGCATAGTGTATCTTAATTTTCTCTTTTTTTAAAGCAAGAAAATTTTAAAGCAAGAATTCCCCCCACTGAAAACTCATTCCATCACAAACAAAAATTAGTACTTGGAGTAGGGAGAAATCTGTTTTTCTTATATGAAATGCAAGCAATTCCTCTAATACACCTAAGAACCAAGTATAGTTTCCTACGAGGCAAATGACAAAAGAAGGAGGGGGCTACTGTGAATCTGGACAGATGAAGAGGGAGAAATATAGATCAGCCTCCTGATGCTTTTTCTTCAGGAAACCCTCATTTATACATTTCTTGAAGATTTACCCCTAAGCACAGATATGAGCATGAAATCTTAAGATGCTTTATCATTAAGAAAGCTGCTTACAATGCAAAAACCCTTTCTCTACCTTGGACATTCATTTCCTGTAGAATTAGTCATCTGAGCTCTATGCGTAAATTATAATTAATAGTCTACAAACAAGCAGTAAGACAACATTAACCATTTTAGTTGATATTACAGCTTACAGGAAATATTAATTAACCTCACTAGAAACAGTACTTCCACACAATAGCTTTTTAGAAAAGACTGTTATAACTATTTTTTGCTTTTAAAATCATACCTGTACGCTACTACACCCTACAAACTTCTCTCTCATGATTAACTACAATTGGCTTTATTTGCCACAACCAACCTCCAGCTCTTATGGGTTTTAAGCATTTTTTGATTGTGTAAACTAACTTTCAGTATGATAAAAATAACCTAAAAGTTCTTCAGGCTTTGAGATTTCTACAGCAAATGAAGACATTAATCTAGCTACATGATATAAAACCTACCTTTTCTTAGGATATGTATTTAACATACACACTTCAGTAACAGTTTCAAAGCTGAACCTCCTGAAAACTGAAGGGTTTTATTCCTGACAAACATAGATGATTCAAAACTTTCTATCTTAAAAGCTACAGCAGTGTAAATTCTGCTTCAGGCAAATATAAGCAGGTACTCCTACTTTAATCTTTGGTGAGAAACTGCTGAGTAGCTTAAATCTTGATGGAATTATCAGAATTTTTTTCTTGGTTAAGAGTTGCAAATCTACCCCTAGATCATAGAATCCTTTAAGTTGGAAGAG